AGATGGGCTAAATTGAGACGGTCTATTTTGGTAGGAGGAGAGTGAGGGGATGGAAAGAAAGCTGCACCGAAGAGAGGGGGGGTCAGAAATAAGAGAGAGGGGAGCGATGGAGGCATAGACAAGGGTGACGAGGAGAAAAAAGCCTTAAAACTGCTTCCTTTTGTGTGGAGACAGCAGCCTCCTGTAAATAGTACAAGTGTGTTTCCCAAAGAAATTCCAGTACATACACACGTCCTTTTCTGAGGCACTGAGCCGTGGCAGACAGCGAATCTTTCCATGTGGGTGCAGCAACACCAGCCTTTGTTATGCAGCCTCGTTAATCGATTGTGGAGGTTGTTAGAATGCAAGAGGTCTCGCCGCTACGCACACACACACAACAAGCATGGAAACGTGTCCGCAGACGCACTTGCAAACTTTCTGTGCCACCGGTCAAACTGAATGAAACAAATTCTTAAAAACCAACACAGTAGGGCCGGTCAGCCATAATGTGTGTGTGTGTGGTGGTGGGGGGGGGGACGGTTAACAAAAAACTACACTGAAAAGATCCCCAGGATACAAAATTGTGTCTTTTCACTCTCTCGCTGTGGGAATGGCAGGTGTGAGAGTTTGTAAAAACGGCTTGACTCAACTAGCACAACTCCCCTGCTCTGTCAAACCCAGATTCGCTGTTTATTCAGAGATGATCAGGCGGCGCTGTCTGCTCTCCCTCTCGCTCCTCTCATCTCTGCTCCTGTTTTCTCACATTGACTGAGACTAAAGAGATTAGCCGAGGGAGATGAAACGACTACGGCTCTGCCAGCAACCGCGCAACCCCTCTCGTTTCCAGGACTTCCTTCCCCAACTCTTTCTCCCGCTGCCATCGCTTCATTCCTCACTCTCTTTAATCACACTCAACTCCTCTGAGTCGCTGCTCGGTGCCTCGGCTTTAAAAAAAAAATAAAATAAGGGTTGCACTTTTGAATTAAAGGCAAGGTCTTTGCTTTTGTGAAGAGATGAGGAAGGGGGAAGTCAGGATAGCCAGTCAATATCCGTCTAAGTTAATTACATTTGACTTGGCGAACAAGCCAAAAGCGCGCACGCTTGCTCTTAAACGCTCATGTGTTTGCATTCACACAGCGTTGGCGCAGTGTGAGAGGGTTCACCCGAAGGAAAAAAAAAAAAAAACGAGGCAGGAGGCTCAAAAATACTTCTCATGTGTTTGGAAGCAGGAGGACAAGCGCTTCCATAAGACCGACTTAAAAATGAGAGCGTGGAACTTTTGAAAGAAGAAAAAAGCTTCTTACAAACGAAAAGCTTGATGCATAAACAATGCAATGCACCCCCGGGGGTTTTGCTGCCGGCCTGGTGTTTTATGATGGCTAACATTAGCTAGAATTCATTCGCAATCCGTGACTAGAAATAGCAGCTGTATGCCTGACATTATTAGAACAGTTCACTTAATAACTTTGAGACCACTGTGGTGTAGTTTACATGTCCAATAAAGAAAAAAAAAACCTGACTGATATATTAGACATTGATATTCTAGATATATCTGGTATTGCTGTCTGATATGTGGCGAAATGTTTTAGGTTTTTCTTGATACAGAACATCCATCCATTATCTATATACGGCTTAATCCTCACTAGGGTTGCGGGGTGCTGGAGTCTATCCCAGCTGACTCAGGATGAAGGCAGGAGACACCCTGGACAGGTCACCAGTCTATCACAGGGCTACACTTAGAGACAGACAACCAAGCACACTCATATTCACACCTATGGACAATTTAGAATCACCAATTAACCTCAGAGTGTTTTTGGACTGTGGAAGGAAGCCGGAGAACCCGGAGAGAACCCACGCTGCACGGGGAGAACGTGTAAACTCCACGCAGAGTCCACACCGGGATGCGAACCGGCGACCTTCTAGCAGAACATGTTTGAGCTAATTTAGAAATGGTGTCATGGCACAGTTTGCACTCCACTGTCTGCAGCACATGTAGCCAAGTATGCATCACACGACAATAGTGCGGAGTCAAGTGGCCTCTTCACGGTAATTAACTAACTAGTTTATGAAATACATACGCGCCACTGACAACTGTAATTGCTGTCATGGCTCTTTCCTTGTTCCGTAGATAACAACCCTCTCTTGTTCATCCAGAATACAGTTCGGGGACGTTTCCAAGATGGCTGCTAAGTGGTGAGACTTGCCTACAAGGACTTTGAAAACATGTACGTCTTGAAATTTTTCTTAAAAGTGGTTGGTGCCAAAAACAACCTAGATATGCTGTTAAATGTCCTAAAAGCAGCTACAAATAACATGTAGTTTGCCAGCTCATGTGATTGCCACTTGTGCCCAACATGGCTGCTGTTCAGTGAATACTCTCGTTTTAAACACGGCACACTAAGAACCAGGGCTGCTGTGATTAGTTGGCATAATTAATGATGGTAATGATGAAAATGCATTCACATCAATACATTAAAGAGAAATGTTTTTTAAAAAAAGAATTCTAAAAGGTTTCAGTGTATTACACCAAGTCTCCGTGTTCAAATGTAACTGCTGCATCATGATGTCAGAAATTGTTTGAATACAATTTGCGCTGCAGTTTTTTTTATAAAGTCAAGATTCAATTCTACAGTCACTGTGTAACATTGAAAAAAATGACAGAGCATGACCACATGTGAGACCGTCAAAAAGCGATTCACACAAGAATTACATTAACGTGACTCTTTAAACCCTGTCAGCCGGGCTGCAAAATGTACAACATGTATCTGATAGCTATTAAATAATGAGACTGTGTTTATGTCAGTGGAACCACAGAGTGCAAACACACAGGATCCAATCATCAATGGGCTTAAACAACCTCAAAGTGAATAAAACTGAATTATGGCATATTTAATAGCCCCACCTCATAGATTTTAAATTACAACCATTTGCTAATTGCACTGTTTTAAATTGTGATTTAAACTTGAAACCTATGACATGTTTAGTCCTACTCAGCACTACGGCAGCAGTCTGACTCGGATGCATAAGAATCAGTTGTGCATTTCAAAAGACCAAAGGCTTTGAAAGTATCGGAATACTACTCAGATTACCACAACACAAAAGGAGGTTCATTCACTAGTGCAATACATGAGTACCTGAAGAGATAACACACGGGGTGTTTGTCTAGATGCACCACCAGAAACGGTAAAACCTCTGCAAGTGTGCAAGAGCACGGAGAGCTTTTAAATATATTTTGTCCTTGTAACTGCTAAATTCACTCATAAAGCTCAAACTCAAATATAACATGAACTTAAACAAATTGGGAAAAACAACTAATTGGGAAAATAGCTGACAGATTAACTCAACTAAAAAAATAAAAAATGCAAATCATGGCAGCTAACTAAGAGCCGAGCTAAAGTCATCCACTGGTCAGTGGACTAACTCCAGTCTATAAATAGCCACATCTTGTCACTGTCAGTGGAGATGACTTTAAATACATAAGTCAAATTAATAAATCAGAGGCTGTTTTTATAGATCTGTGCTTCCGATCAGCCAGAAACTCCCTTTTACATTCATCACGAGACTCTACGGCAGCACTGTTCTTTATTCTTGTTCGCCATTGAAAAATAAAATCAGTCTATACATTAGGCTGAGAGTTGCAGCTTTAATAAACTAACTCATTCATTATTGATTTAAAGTTTTTTTTAGATTTGAAGTTAATTTATACACAAGCCTGTGCGTGCACATGTGAGCCCACAGTCAGACATAAATAGGCCGTAATGACTCATTACGTGCATTTTTAAATAGGAACATCACAAATAGATGCTGGTAAACAAGACTTCACTTTGATGTAAAAACAACTAGGTCTTGTGTACGTCTTCAGAGAAATAATCTTTTTCTTGTAGCAATCAAAAGCATCTTCCCTGCCTGCCTCTACCTGCTCCTGTTTAGTGCTCTGCCTCCGCCTGCGGTGGATCGCCCTCACGATCATGTTTACTTTACAGCTTTATTGATTTGCCATTTTGGGAATTGCAGGAAATCAGAGGCACTATCTGCACACTCGGCCCATTCACACAGACACAAGGGCTCATAAACAGTTGTCTCAGTTTATCTCCGGGCCTACTTTTTTGTGGATGGGTTCAGGCAGCACAGTCGACACAGCAGTCACCTACAAACCCAATCTTCAACACTGCAGGAGCTGAAAACGCAACTAAAAGACGAAATGGTGGAAAAAAAAAATCTGGATGTTTTTAAAAACACATGCATTTTTCAAAGGATAAATGCACAATATGGATTTTTATTAGCTAAAAAAAAAAAAAAAAGCACACATTTCTTTCCCACATATTCACTCAGCCAGGACTAAGAGCCTTGTCGTGTCTGAACCAAGCTAGTCCGGTGACTCACGCTTAAATTACTGAACCACCACGGCTGTCTGATTCAGCTCTGTGTTAGCTACTTGAAGGCCTTCTGGGACTAGGAGAGGGAAAAATGATTACATGATACCCACAGTAACACTGATACGGCTCCACGGAAGAGGGGAAAAAAAAACAATCATCACCGTGATATGATGAATGGAAAATTAAGAAAAGGAGGCTGGAAGACAGTAAACAAATAAATCTCGGAAGTACGGGAAAAAAAAAAGAAGGTTGATTTGAGAGGCGCTAATAAACCATCAGCTCCACAGAATAATAATAAGCCACAAACTGAGTTTAATCAAAGGCAGCACACACTGCGCCCATCAGTTCTCCCAAAATTAGAGATGGCAAAGTCAGAAAACACACACAATCCATCTCGCCTCTTGTTGCTGCTACAGAATTCATCTGTGGCCTGCATTGCTTTCCAATGTCAGAAGTGGAGATCTGCTGTCCAGCCAGTGCATGCGTCACTACAGCCCCCCGCACAAATATCACCTGACAGCAGCGCACCATGATTGTAAAGGTAGTTTCTGTCCTCCATCACAATCACATGAGTGTGTAGGTCAGTGTGTGTGTGTGTGTGTTTTCCTTAACCTGCATGACACTGTGTGTTTTTTTCCATCTTACCCTGATTCTCCTCATGGCCGCCACGATCTCCATCCGACTGTTGGGCCTCGGCACGTCCAGACTCCCCACGTACTGTGGCCACACACAGACAGGAAACACATCAGTTGGACATTGTTGTATGCACTGCAGTCCATAATCACACTGATATCATGTATGGAACCACACTCAAAACTGATTTCAAACGAGCTCCATTTTCCAAACAACCCTCAGTGGAGGTTCCCCCTGCAGTGGACCTCGAATAAAAATGCAGCAAAAATTAGACAACATTTACACAATTAAGTCGTACTTTTATGTGCTGATGCTTCCCCCCTCTGAGCATCAGCACCTTGAGCAGGATGCTGGACAGATCTGCTTATCTCTCATTGCAATAAACCAGTGGGCCTCTATTTAGGACAGAATGTGTTTAATGTGGGCTATAGAGGACAAAGCCATGCTTTATTAATAAGCTCCATGTGGATTGCATATATTTGAATTCATCGGGTGTTTAATTAAGAGGCTCCAGGGACCATGTCGCCTTTGATGTCACCATTATTTTGATTAGAGTAAATAGTCTGAGAGCGTAAAATCAGCAACACTGACTTTAATTCAATGTTTACTCGGTGAGGATGTTTTTTATAATTGCATTTAGTATTTGCACACTTATTTCCTCATTAAGCATCTCATTGTGTATTGATTCATTTACTCTGCTGTGTGTGGCTCTTGTTCCTACTTATTGAAGAGCGTTTGGTCTCCACACCAACTAACTGGTGTGTGCCGTTCATTTAGAGCTTGATCGTGAAGGCGAGCTGAGTGAGCACGCTGCTTAATAAGAAGACCTCATAAAATGTGAGATAGAAGCACCATGGGACTGAACTTTGGACGTGTAACACTCCTTCGTTTTAACCCTTTCTGCTCCCTGTTTTCTGATCAAATGCTAAGGTGTAAGGTAGATGAACAGAAAACAGAACATTTTCATGCAACGTGACAAACATTTGCTGTTTTTAGCTTCTGCATTTGGAGGAACTGCAATCTTTTTAGTTTCATATCACAGGAAACTCTTCAGGACAAGACATTTTACTTTCTAACTTTTTTCACACAAACAATCTTTAAATCAAATAATCAATCCTGAAAATAATCATTAGCTGCATCCCTGCTATAAAAAGGACTGAACACTGTCTAGCTGCTTCCTTTAGAGTTAATAATTCAATAACTTGGGGAAAAAACCTGAAAATACACTCAGGCCACTTTTGAGCATCAAAAAAAAAGAGCTTTTTAAAGACTGTGCCAACCAAATGTGAATTATTTTAAAGCAGCTCCACCAACAGCTCCAATAAACCACATGTGTGTGGACAGGACAGGCTGCCATGTGTTCAAACTTCCCAGCTGAGAGGGCTCCACGGTGCACCTGCCGCTCCAACAACACAAAAGCAACACAACTCTGCAACCATCAGGGGATTTTCTCCTCTGCGTTCACCTTGGCTTGGAAATATATCCCATGTTGATAGGCTTCCTCGTTGTGCAGCGGCAACCTGGAGTCCGCCACATCGTCCACCAGGTTGTACCTGTTCCTGGCGGGCATCCCGGGCTTTCAGGCGACCGAACACACTTCAACAACTAAAGGCGCAAAACAGCGTCGCTACAATCCCCATGTGTGTGCGCAGCGCGGCTCCACGAGTGAGTTCCCGGTGGAAACGCAGTCCATTGTTGTTGCTTCAAAAACAGGTCCCAAGAAGGACACAACTGCGCGCCTCTTTTTTTGTTTGTCCTCTTCAACACACTTCAGGATCTCCCTCCACACATGCGTCCGGATAAAGACGCGCAGACGTGCGTTTTTCTGTTTCCGAAGCCACAGAAGGAGATCCTGCGTTGTTTCCCTCCGCAGGTGATGTTGGCTGCTCGCTCTGGGTATTTTTTTGAATCCCGTCCTGTTGGTGGCAACGCTGCACCCTCTCTCTCTCTCTCTCTCTCTCTCTCTCTCTCTCTCTCTCTCTCTCTCTCTCTCTCTCTCTCTCTCTCTCTCCCTCCACAAAGCACAAAGCAGGTCCCTCATTGGAGAGAAGTTCCCAAGCATGATGCAACCCGGAGCTGGGAGGAGAGCCAGCGATCAAGTTAGTCCAGCCCTCAGGAGATGAACATTTGATACACTCTGGATTGACTGTGGGGGGCCCAATCCTGCAGGAATAAAGAGAATAGAAAAGGAAGTAGCACGTCATTACAACTGAAATGTCACATTTGAAGCATTTCTGGTGCTGCATTTACTCAAGTTGATGCATGCACATGATGAGCTGTTTTAAATATAAGGCACTGATTAAACTGTTCCAAAAGATGGGACACTTTTTGAATGTAGTATTATTATTATTATTTTTTTTTTTTTACAAAGCACAGATTTGAGAGTAAATCATCAGAATACTCGTCCTCCTACTGTCCCCAAAAGACCTGACTAGGATAATAATAGCAATAATATTACCTTTATGTGTAGCATTTTCAAAACACAAGTGCAGCCATTTACATTGTTTGATTTTTATACTCTTAACTTAGTTAGTTTTTAATTGAAGTGCATGTAAATGATCAGTTGTTTCAAATTTAAGCACAGATTAAACTACTCTAAAATACATCAAAAAGTTAATTCCACATTTTCCACCTATCAGTGCACATTTTATAACATAGTTGTGACATTTAAAGTACATTTTGTTGTCAGTATCTCTGTACTTATAGCTACTTATAATACATATTTTACTATTTTTTAAATGTAGGACTTAACATTTTTTTAGGGCACAAATTCTAGTTTAATGAGAGTAAATTATCTGAATACTTCTCCTACTATTGTCTATCCCCCCAAAAAAGGTCTAAATATAATAATAATGATGATTCATGCAAATGTTTTGTTAAGTTTCATTTTAAATATATTGCATTGTTGCAGATTGAACTACTTTAAACTCTCAGTCAGTTTATAAATAATATATTTTTGATGTTTGGGTGCATTTTGTTGTCAGTGCCACTATACTTTTAGCTACTTTTTAAAAACTTTATTTAAAAAAAAAAGTTACCTATTTTTTTTAATACATTTTTTTTTAATTCTATTTTTATATATTTTTACACTACGCCCCAAGAAAGCCTGAATATAATAAGAAAATGAATAATAATAATATTAAATTTCTTGATTTTGCACCTTTCAAACCAAAGTTACAGAGTGCTTTACAATAAAAAATTTAAAAAAAAACAAAAAACATTTTGCAAGTAAATAAGATCCAAAACATAAAATATCACACTATAAATTGGTTCCAACAAACATATTTCTCATTTGCAGATCCAGACTACATCATTAGTTCTTGCCTCATCCTGTGGCTCCACTGCAGGCCTCCAGCTACTTCTTCTCAACATAAAAGACAGGTTCTTCTGGGTTTCATTTCGCCCTTCATGACCGCATTAACGGTTTGCAGGTGCTGCTCAAATGGCTGAGGCTCACACCAACCTCGTGTGCTCGTTTTCATCATCCTTGGAGTTTTCCCACAGGAGCCCAATTAGTCTCTCAGCAGATAACAAGAGTTCAGTCACTAAACAGCCACTTGTGCCGACATGCACACGGTGACATCTCATTTTACACAACAAATGGATGTTTGCTGGTGGTGAGGTGGAGATGATGGAGCGTTGATCCTCGTGAAGTTTGGTCTTTATCAAGCTTAAACCTCTTGTTGTTGCCACATATTAATGACCTTAAGCATCATGTATGTACAAGCCCTCAATACAATGCAAAGGGGAGCATCACATGTTACGCTTTTAAAGCATCAATAATAAATACCATCCTGTCTTTGTACTAGTAATTTATTACATAATTAAATACTAGGTTAAGCTCTTAACACACATTACTGAGATAATCTCATGGCGCCCTCTGTTGGTTACTTGCTGTCGGTTACTGAAGGTAAAATGCAACTTCACCTTGTTCCCAGATGTGTTTTAATATTATATGTATAAAGTGTAAGTCTTTGCTTTAGTTGGTTACTTTGCACTTGAAAGGCAGCAGATGTACTCATGTGGACTAATCTTTTAAAAAAATCTAATGAATTAGGGTCTCCTAATATGAGAAAATGGCATCCAGGTGCCCCAACTAATTCCCTCTAATCTGCACTCAAAGGGCAAGATATTAAAACTGCAAAATAATAAGCTTATTAAGTGAAAGAAAATGCCTGGAGTCAACACGAGGGAGGGATAATGCTGACATAATGCACTTTTAATTAAATGGTGACAGATGGTTATCATTAACTTGATTAATTAAAGTGGCATTAGCCACCAGTAGAAACTGCTTTAACCTGAAGGCAGTGGAGTGGTGAGAGGACGTACCACATGGGTGTAAAAGCCCCGAGCAGTCAATCCCGGGTTTGATTCCCTGTGGACCGGACCATTGGCTGCGTGTCATTCCCCTTCAGTCTTCGCCACGTTTCCTCTCCCTCTTCGCTATCCGTCTGCATGCTGTGCAATCAATCTGTGCAGTGTAACAGTACATTCAGACAAATGTCAGCCGTCTACGCAAAAGAATCCAAGCAGAAGGAGTCCAACATGAAGGATGTGGTGTATTTGTGTACTTGTGTAAAAGCCTATGTAGGACACAGAATACAAACAAAGACTATTAGGGTTCTACAAAATGTATTGAGTTAAAGTACATGCAATGGAGGTTAATCTTTAAGGGGGCGGCCTTGTAAGTCTGAGGGACTTCAGCTAAGAGCAAGATATTTATCATCATTTATAGAGCCTTGTTTCTTTAATCTGTACACAAAACACCCCAAAAACAAAGTGTAAAAATGATAATTAGCTCCTTTGTGTTCTCCTGTTTCAAAATCTTGGACTACTCCCCTTAAGGTCAAAGGGTCACTTCTTCTTATTTTGTAACATTTCCATCCATGAGGAGTGCATGTTAGATTTTATAAAGATGGCAAAGTTGTTTGGTAAACTTACTATCTATCGTGATCCATCCACGTTTCTGCAAATAAAACCAACTGAGAGGATTCATCCCCCATCATGATTTATGACGCCAGACAGTTATGGATACATAACAGGCTGTCTTTATTCTATTAGCGATGCCCAGCAAGAGATTCCCATCTGGCTGCGTCAGTGTTATGTCGCATTTATCTTGATTGCATTAAAATCAGAAGGTTTCTCGTGTCATCATCTGATTTTTACAGCTGCTACTAAAAGTCGAACCACCTAAGAAGACCTGGGCTGTAAAGAATCACTGAAGACATTTCTAGGAATGCAGCTCTCTGTGAACAACTGGATCTACAATGCTGGTACTGACGGCCAGAGAGGGATAACCTGAGGAGACATGGAGAAAATTGTGAGTAATAATGTTCAGACAAGTTCGCTTACAGATACCACAACTCAATTATTTGCAGTACATCAAAAAAAAAAAAAGCAGAATATAAAGTCATGTTTGTTCACGGTAAAGTAAGTCTGACTGTCTCAGGACTTCAAAAGACAGAAGATTATTTTCTTAGTGACTTAGTTAGGTGTCTTTTCGATGCCACGGTGCACCTTGGTGGAAAAATGGGTACGTCAAGTCAGACTGATTTCACTATTCATCACTAAAAGAAGGAACCCTGCATTACACCTAAAAACAATCAATCACAAACACGGATGCAACGCAGTATACAAACACAATATGAAAAACGACGACCCGAGGGCAGCCTGTGTGTCTGTGATGCAACGCTAACACACTATTACAAATTCTTCCACACTCGCGGCCTGAAACACTCTTTCAGATGTTGTTCTTTGATGATTATTAAAAGCAAAAAAATGAAAGAAAATTCTTGACACCCACATGAACAAACCTTCAAGAAGATCTGTCCGGTGCGTGACATCATTGAGGGAATGGCTTTGATTTAGCGTTTTTTTTTTTAACTCATGCTGAAAAGAAAGGAAGTAGAAAGTCAAAGTAAAGCATAGAGAAGAGAAAGCTGTGATAAATTGAGATGATAGCACGAGCCTCTGAACAAACACGATGAAATGCTTTATGGAAATCCTCAAGGTTATTTGCTCCGGTAGCAATTCAGTGCGATTAATCACAGGTCTGGTTCCGAGTGTCACAAACACTGTTTTTATGTAGAGGTGGAAGAAAAATAACCAAAGCTCACACTGTCTGTGAAGTAGCTTTCAAACAATCACAAATGCATAATACATAAGGATTCAAGAGGTGTATAAGATCTGACAATATGCATGTTTTCAAAGTGACGGGAGACAACTGTAGTTATTCAAATGAGGCCAAAGCAGAGCTCAAAGCACAGTTGTTCTGGTTTAAAACAGTGTTTAACGTCCCCTTCGTGTCAGACGTCTGTGTGATTATTGTAAATTGGATGTTTGTGCAGGATGATGCAAGTGCAGAGTGCGACACCACCAGTTTTTCTGGACTCGTGAGTAAATTTCAGTTCAACATGTGGGTGTACAAGCAGCACTTGCAATATCTTAGATTTACAAGTGTGTTGTACTGATTAACAAAAATTTGAATTTGAAGTGTTACAGAAGAAATTAAATGAGAATTATGGGGCATTTAAAAATCTCAACAGCAACATGAATCTAATCTGAACCATCATGAAACATTCTTCACTTACTTCATCACTTAGTTAAGTGGCACAAAGTAATCCACGTTGATGTTAGCTGTTTTATATTCAAAACATTTGTCCTGGGTTCAAATCTGGGCCTGGGATCTTTTTTGAGTGGAGTTTGAATTATTTTTTTTTTCTCTGTTTTTGTTATGTATTTTTCATTCATTCATTTCATTTCATTCATTCATTGCATGTTCTCCCTGTGCAGTGTGGGTTCTCTCCGGGTTCTCTGGCTTCCTCCCACACAGTCCAAAAACATGTTAAGGTTAATTGGTGATTCTAAATTGTCCGTAGGTGTGAATGTGAGTGTGCTAGGTTGTCTGTCTCTAAGTGTAGCCCTGTGATAGACTGGTGACCTGTCCAGGGTGTCCCCTGCCTTCACCCTNGAAGTGTTACAGAAGAAATTAAATGTGAATTACGGGGGATTAAAAAATCTCAACAGCAACATGAATCTAATCTGAACCATCATGAAACATTCTTCCCTTCATCAATTAGTTAAGTGGCACAAAATGTTCCGCGTTGATGGATGGATGGATGGATGGATGGATGGATGGATGGATGGATGGATGGATGGATGGATGGATGGATGGATGGATGGATGGATGGATGGATGTGTACATTTTTTGTGCTCATTCATCTAGCAGATGTTGAAATATTTTACTGAATAGGTGAAAATATATCTTGCCTGTCGTGCAGGACAAACAGTCAAGGGATCACCTAAAGTCAGTAATATTTATCCTTCAGGACCTTTAAATCTGAACATAATTCCAAGGCAATCAATGCAAGAGTTCTCAAGATATTTCACTCCAAACCAAAACCAAGAGAAGAAACATCAGGGGAGGCCCAACCAAACACAACACACCTCCACTATGGTGGTAGTAGCAAGTTTGTTTAATTCACTAATTTAGAACAGGATTCACATCACAACACACATTGTACACATATCCCTTACAGCAGATGATACACTCAACAGCTGCAGGTGTAAAACCAGTCAATTCATGAGTCTTGATGAGACGTGACTCCAGTTAAAAAACAGGAACTGGTGGATGAGGAAAGCGTTCAGACTGTGGTGTAGGCGTGTGCAGTGTTAGACTGTAGCATATCACTGGTGTGGATGTAGTGTTTCAACATTTGTGAATGCTGGTTGTGCACGTTTTAAATGCATCACAAACGCTTTTTCTGTTGGCTCGAGTGAGGACGCTCATGTTAATGCTAGTTCTACCTGTGATCTATGCAAAAAAACTACTCGGTAACTAGACGCTGTGCATTTGGTACGTATGACACCTGAGAGCTGGTGCTAATGTGTGAATAATGGACTCAGTCACTGGCCTGCTAGTTACACAAAGAGCAGTAAGAGGTATGTGTAAACAGTTATTCCAAAAGCATCCTTATTACTGATAACACAACAGAGGCAAGGCAACAACAACAACAAAAAAAAACAACACAAATCGTACATTGCTCTCCACTGCCTACGTCATTTGAGTGACAAAGCTAAGCCATGGCTCTGGTGATTGTGTGGGATACAGACCAATTAGTCCCTGAATCGAGACACTTCCACTCATTAAGTTGTAGCTGTGTTGTGGTGGAGCGCACTAATTAAGACTAAACATGGAATAATCAAGAGATAATCAGTAACAGGTTCTAAAAGAAAAAAAAAAACAGGTACAAAAGGTTTTACAAATGAGTGCACATTCCGTTTTTAAATAATTGTACCGCAAAATCTGCAGCCGCCAATCGCTTGAGAAACCGTCGAGCTGAGTCACGCACTGAAAGCTACCCGAGGTTCAGCGCAGGCGACTGAACCAACTGAAAACATTATAAAAGCATACAACCAAAATAAAGATAAAAGGTCTTCATCTTTGGGTATACCAAATACATTCCCCTCTGGTAAAAATATCCCGACTGCCTCTATATGTTTACAGATGCACTCAGGCTGCAGCTCAGAGTTGTGTGTGCACTGTGGGTTTGGAACTCTAAAAACCACTCTGCCCGCTGCCTTATGAGAGTTTGGTTGACTCATAATAATTGACTACTAATAAAGCAACCGATAGTTCTTTTTAAATCAAACCCTGATGCCAAAAAAAACCCCTCATCAGCATCAAAAATCAAAGCAGGAAAAACATTTTGGGGCCTGAATACAATGAAAAGGTAAGGAAACACTTGAGGTTATTTACACTTCTGTGGTGTAGTGAATAATTTAAGAAGTCAGGCAGTTTCTTTCAACAAATTAAGCAACATAAATACAAAAAAAAGATAAATTAATAATGCAAAATGAATAACAAAAACACACTGGCCCACCTGTTTTTCATCAAATCTGATGTTCAAACGTTTAAGACTCCCAATCAAACGTGAGTACAGACATTCTGTAGCTCTGGTTTTTAATTCTTGCACTAGTTGATATTTAATAATAAAAAAAAAAAAACATTTTCCTCAAATAAATGATCTAGAAAGTCCCGTCAGGGTTCTTCTGACTTGGACATGGAGGCCTCGAAATTCCTAATCCTCACATCTTGTTTTGTGACACGCAGCTCTTCAAGAATATTGTAATTATTGTATAAATGTAATTATAGTTTGTGTTTAATATCTGAATGTTGCTGATGTGTTTTTTTCCCACGCTGCACCAAACACTCTGGTGGCGTGGCTGTTAAAGTGACACGAAGTGGGATATGCTGCCAAAAAGCAGGACGCATGCAGATCGCACAGCAGCGTTTGACCTCTCTTTATGCGCTCAATCCGTCACACAACTCTGAATCACAGCCTCAGAGTCCGAGTGAATACCCTGAAGTCAATTATGTACATTTTACAATCACATTAATTTCTGCTCAGAATTCCTGAAAAAGGCTTTTTGGGCTTTAAAGATGTACTTCAAAAAATGTTCCTGCCAACACAGCAACTGACAGTAGCAACAAACAATAAGAGACACAAACCCATGAGAAGAATTAAAAACAAAACAACAAAACTTAGGATGTAAAGTATCGAGTCACAAATGATAAATCCCATTTACACACCAGGTACCAAATAATGGGCTGAATCCACTATCAGTCTGTTTGGATGCTATTAGCTCAGGACAACACATACTTAAAGTCAATAAATAAACTGTTATGTAGTAACACAACTGATAGCGGGGACAGGAGTGTGGAGGAAGAGGTAGGACGGGTGGAGGACAGGGGAGAGGAATTCAAGTGTAAGAACTGAGGAAAACCGAGGAAGAGGAGGGTGGAAAGGCAGCTTCCTCACTCCGGAGCCCCGTTCGTCGTTCCCGTCATCCTCTCTTCGTCCCCCTGTTTCTGATGCTGCAGTCTGGCGTAAGTCACTGCATCTCCCCTGAGAGACGAGGAAAAGGAAGACAGGGCGCGAGAGAAAGATGGTAATGAAAGGTTACGTCCAGGGAGAGGTGAGTAGAAAGGAAGGGAAGGCAAAGGGGGACAGTGTTAACTGCGGGGTCATTACACGGCACACCTTGTCAAAAGTTAATTTGCATGAATAAAACGTCTCATTAGGACGGTTAGAATTAAAATAAAAATCGTGTTAAGTGATTAGAACGTGGCATTTAACGTAACAGCCTGTGTTAATGTGATTTAATGGGAGTGACACATCAAGAGATAGGAGTAATTATAGCACAATCTGAAGTGTTTCAAGTATGCTTTTAAAAAATGATCCACATGCTTCTAACTACGAGCAGACATCTTACTTTTTGCCTAAAGATGCGAGGCCGTACAGAACTCCTGTGGCAAAGGCGATGGCGTTTCCAAACAAGGTTGTAAAGGAGAAACTCAAGAACACTGGAAACAGAGCCATCCTGTTCAGCCAAGGTGACGGCAAACAAAGGACAAAAGAAGTCAGTAAATCATATTATGCACAGTCTAAAAATAAAGGAACTCGATTTCCAAAAGTATGTCCAACAGTCTATACAATGTGAGTAACTATCAGAAGTCCACATTTCAGTAGCCTTCAGTGGCATAAAGCTCAGTTGTTCTCACCCACAGTAGAAGAAGGCCTTCTGCCAGGGTTTGAGTTTGTCTGCACGGGCTGCTATTGCATTAGCGAACTCTATGAACTGGCAACAGAACGGGACTTCGCAGAGGAAGAGCACGAAGGCGTTCAACCTTGAGACGGGAAGGAGAGAACAAAAACAGTGAATTTTCCCTACTTGTTTCTATCTCAAATACTTGAGATTAAACGCAGCAGCCGTTTGGAAAAGAACCATTATGCTGTCATAGGAACTGAAAAATTGCTTCTACAGTTAGCTGGCTGGCGAAATTAGGGCTTTAGCTAATATTTAGTTTCATGAGCAATTCATCGGCTGACAGAAGAAAAACAAATCATAGCTGGCTTTGTTGGGGCATGTGCTGAAAGGTTCTGCTTAAAACGCAGAACAATCAGGGCGGTCTTTGGCACACGATCATGACAAGGTTTTCTCCACACCGCCAACATTAGGTGTGGCGATATGAGACTGGTGCTCACTGCTGATGTAAGATAGAAATATAGGAATGTAAATGAACCGCAAAAACAAGTTCACTGTGCACAATTTTTACAAAAACTGGAAACCTGTGCTGTCTGCCTGACGGGTCGGGATGTTTAAGATAGTTTGTGGCTGAAACCAGCTCTCATTTGTGTCAGTAAACACGACACCTCAGCCAAACTAAAACTACCGACTTATTCAGTTGTGCTACTCTATTCTAACAGCATCAGAAAGCAACAGAGACCTGGCAGAGGAAAGTACTTTGTGGAGAAGCCTGTCTAGGTTTATGGAATGTGCTAATTTATGCAAGAAAAGTGTGACTGTGTCGAGGACTTACACCATCCATACTCCAGCAGCGATGTTTAAAGGGTTCACAGTGACACAGTTCCACACTCCTGAGATGGCACAGGCTGCAAGATTAGGACAAAAGATAAAGGGTCAGTTATCATCACCACCACCTCACCGTTAGCTATTTAATTTATGCTGTACATCACATGAGAACAAAGATCTTAAAATGAAGGATGTGGCTGTTCAAACATCCTGCTCAGCCACTCCTGTGCTGTAATGGACAAGCTGCTTGGTGAGTAATACCTTCACACTATGAAGACCACAGGAAAATCAGCAATGTGGAACATATGGAGCAGATACAGTAAGCGATGCGAACAATAAGTTGTCTTTCATGAGCAGCGAAACACAGCGCTACGTTTTTCTGAAGCAGCCCAGAAAACGCAGTGAGTACCACATTCAAATCCATCACTCCCATCTGCTGAAGATGTAAAAGCTATTATGAAGCATGCTTGGCCTGAAAATTAATTACCCAGATCAAATTTGAAACACCAATTAAAACCGTGTCAAAATCAAAGCAGGGCACATCTTTCATGTACACCATAATGTGTTTCGGGTTATTTTGAATAAAGGCTCTTTTCAGCTTTTGCCACGGCTGTGATTTGTTTTGAGGGTTTCACTACTTTCACAGCACATCCTTCACATCTACATGTGGTGGGGAAATGTTGCTCAACAACAAACAAGGCCAATTGGACCGGCTGCATATCCACCGTCTGATATATGTGTACACTGTAATATGAGACGGGCTGCAAGTCCGTGAAGTTCAAAGGTAAGCAGGCCACTGACGGTGTGTTCATAGGTTGTGTAAAGGCTGCCTCGTGAATGGACGGTATGTGAACATTTTTGGCAAGCCCTGAAACACTGCGAGGTTTGGCAGCATCACACGTCCCAGAAGTGTGTCAGATAAAGTAATTAACACAGCAGTAGAAAATCAACTAATGACGTCAACCCGAGAGGTGTAAAAAACCCAATTAACAGTTTTATTCACATTAACACAACGCAATCTACTATACTCACAAAAAGTGAGGTCGACATGCACAACGGCCCAGTGTGTTTGTGTTTGTGTCGGACAACAGTATGATCATTTAGTTTGGCAAAAATCGGTTGTTTAAAGCTGGAAGTGACTGAATAGATTTCTTTCAAATGCAGAATCAACAAATACAGCTTCTTGTCAGGAAATGTACACTGAGGTTTAGAAGTGTCATGGTATTGTACATGCAACTACTTATTATTTATCCTAATGATTAATCTGCTAATCTGTTTTTTTAGGCAGTAAAGCATCAGAAAATAGTGAAATATGTCCACGATGGTTCTCAAACCAACCTGTGAAACTGCTGATATGATTTGCTGACAGCTTATTACAAAAGAAGACAACATAAACCCGCAGATATGCCTCCAAATACACACATAAGGAAGGATAATGTAAGATGGAATTTAAAAAATTACCCTATGACATTACTGCTCATTGATCTGACAATCTAGTAGTTTTTGACTGTTTCAGCACAAGGACAGAGCAATCACCCACTTGCTACACCTTTGCCTTTTACCCTTATGATAAATCTAAATGTGGGAAAGGGCTGTTGAAGTCAGCTGCACTACTGAAAACAGAAGGAGGTGTAGAAAAAATACTCATTTCTCACAGTAATTTCACATCAAAGCATTTTTCAAACTTAGCAAAGTCTATTTAAAAAATGATCCTGTGGTGTTTACTTGGTACACGTGATTCTACATTCATCAAAAATGCTAAAACACAGGTTGTTTTAACCCTTTTAGCTGCCACTCGATATGCTAACACCAAGTAAGTACATTTACTCAAGCACTGTACCTCCGATTTATGATATTTGTACTGATTAGTTTCTTTTTATTCCCCAGCAATTCACAAGTACAGCTAAAATTGGATTGACAGAGGTGGAGAATATATTTACATTTTTTATGTAAAATGCCTGAAACACTGAAAAACAGCTTCTCAAATGTCAGGAATTGCAGCTGTTTAATATTATGTTAATAATTATCCTTTAAACAATTTAAAGGTTTGAGCAATCGTGATGGATTTCTACAATCAAGAAAATAAGAAACAGATTAAGCAACAATGCATCAGTCATAATAATCTGATGATATACAGCTTAACAGTCACGGAGGGCATTTTTATTTACATTAAGTACATTTCCCTTGTTATACGTACATACTTTGAAGTGACATTATCAGTGCAGGTGTTATACTTGTAATACAGTATCTTTACATCATGATACAATCACTTCTATTGAGGTAAAGGAACTGAGAACCACCATAATGATGATCTTTTGTATTTCAGCTGTGCAGCAGCTTCAGGCTGAAACTCCAGAGTGAGATAACAGGATAAATATGTGCGTCTGCGTGGCCCGGCCAGACAGTCCCACACCGTCACAAACAGTGGAAGAACCACGTAGCATATCCAGCCTCCTCAATAATACAGCACCCATTGAATATGCAGCAGTTAATGTGATACAGGCACCGTGACTCTGGTGTCACTGTGAAGGGGAGACGGATAAAGAGAGAGGAGGGGAGGAAGGAAAGCAGGGCTGCAATGCTGCTGGAAAACTGCAAAGCCAGCACTTGCCACCACTTCTGTCTCACATTGAACTCCTGCGGGGAGTACCTGACCGTGTGTGTTCATATCACACAGTTCATTTAGGAGGCTGTTATGGAGGGAGCACGCAAACAGGCGGTGCCCAGCAGTGGCTGCTGCAGTGAGGGGGACAATGAGCGGTGACAAGGCTTTTGTTTAGTGGCACAGCAATGAGGTGCGGTACATACACACAATCAGAAACAGATGATACTAATCTGATGCCCTTTCTACTCTGTATTTGCTTTGACTCTTATATAAATATAGAAGAAAAGAGTTCACTTAATAAGGGGTATCAAGTATGCTGACAAGCCAATAGATCCACCTGTCTGTCACAGAAAATCAATGTGTTTGTAACCTGGCACACTCTGACATGACACATGCAGCAGGATTTCTGTGAACTTATTGTGTATTAACCAAAGCACACACACACAGACAATAGACTTTGACAACTACTTACATATTCCTCCTAAAACCCCAGCTATTTTGCAGAGCCATTTGTACCACCAGGTCATGCCATCATCCTCCGGCTCGGCTTTTGTGGGCGCTGCGGTCTCTTCGGTGCTCATTGTGTTGTTTTGTTGTTTTGTTTCTAGCTACGTTTTGCTAAAGCTGCTCAGCGCCACTGTTTACAGATGTCACCCCGAGACCACCCAGATATCTGGATTTAAGTTAGCGACTCGCCTCAAACTCACTGCCAACTGGCTTAGTACACCACCGAGGCACCTTACGGTAACACTACATATAATTTCTACGCCCTACGACCCTTTTAAAAGCCCTTTTCTTTTGTCTGCCCGTGTTGTGGGTCGCCTGATGTTACCCGCAGCTTTCCACACGGCTTCCCCCGTCAGTCAGGTCCAGCTAACCGGCTAGCTCATGCTAACAAGCACCGCCACCAGCTGCCGCTAGGAGTGGATACCACCGCTGCATATGTCCCCAACTTTCTAAAAAAAATCTCCAAAAGGAATAAAAAACTATCTTCAGCTCCTTTTCTACTAATTTAAAGGTATCCACTCGTGTTGTTTGGGACAAACTAGCAGCTCCGTTGTTCTCCTCTCCGGCTGCTCAGCCGATGTAAGCGGTGCATTGTGGGAGGGATCTGATGTGCGTCATGTTTTGTTTACATGCGGGGAGTGTTAATATATCAGCAGATTATGTTGAAGAGGAATATTCTCACACACATCTGCGTTTATCTCAGTGCAGATAGCATCCTTTGGCTACACCTCTGGCTATTTAATATTTTAATATTAATGCAAATTATGCAGGAGTGTACTCTGGTGTCCCAGGACTCTACAGGGCCAGGTTGCAGGTTTCATGTAATATAATGATTAAATCCAGTCACAAAAAGTGAATCTAGATATTGCAAAAAACAAAAACAGATCATCAAAAGATACCATTTAAAAAAAGAACAGAGAAAGAGAGAAATGTGGCAGTTATTAGAACACTAAGCCACATAGCATACATATATCAGTGAATATTTCTGTTAAATAGTTCAAATGTATAATACAACTTTAGTTTAATTTCCCAAAATGTGATGCCCACTCATTTGGATGCCAGGTCTTACAAGGTTAAATGTTCAGCTCCTTCATTTAGCTTTCTTTTTTCTGAAAAAGCAAACTGAGGGCCTAGCTTTATGTTCTGGTTTAATTCATTTAATCAATTTACTTGTGCATTTATTTAAAGATTTTATTTTATTTTTTTACGATAGCACTTCACTTTGTCTTATTTTGCTGTTCTGAATTTTTTTGAACAAATCCTGCCTCTTGTGTTTTCTCATTACTTTTATTTATAACAGGTTTTCCCAGGCCCTGAGTTCTTCATTTGTGACGTAATCATTTGGAAGGAAGGTTTGTGCTCCATTCTATTTGTATGGAAAGTGCTATACAAATAGAGTCTCACTGATTCATTTGTTTTCCTAATTTTCAAGGAATTAATATTTGCACACATTTAGTCTATTTTCTCCATTTAACATTTCCATATGAATCCATCTGGAGGACAAAAATATTCCTGTTAAAAGTAAACAGAAATGCCTTTGCCCTTTGTTCCAAGGTGCAACTACAAGATTGTTATTCAAGCAGCCAGAAATGACCTGGCTCCTTCTTTAGAGAATTATGAAAACACCTTCAGTGCAGAGGTGTCTAACATGATACTGCAGGCTTAAAAAAATTAAAAAAAATTCTGGTTATGTTTTTCAGAAGAAGAAAAAAAAGGCTGTATGACTCAAATGATTAAATCATAACATAGGAGGCATCAACCGTGGGTGACTGCTGAAGAGGTGACACAGCGGAAATCAAGTCTTTGATTATATCACTCTATAAGAATACATTTTCAAAGCTAATGGATTAATCAAGAAGATTCTGAACTGACTGTAGAGTTTGACAGATCTGGAAATATAAAAGTCTAAGAGGTTTAATTAAAGACCATGCAATACCCTGTGCTTCCTCTATATCAGGGGTGTCCAATCCTGGTCCTCGAGGGCCACAATCCTGCATGTTATAGATGTTTCCCTCTTCCCACACACCTGATTCAAATGATCAGCTCATCATTAAGCTCTGCAGAAGCCTGATAACGATCCTGATCATTAAAATCAGGTGTGCTGGAAGAGAGAAACATCTAAAACATGCAGGATTGTGGCCCTCGAGGACCAGGACTGGACACCCCTGTTCTGTATTATCAATGTGTCACATACCACATCAAGAGCGTCAATCCAAAAAAAAAATAAAAAATCCAGAACAAAGAGTAAATTACAGATTTATTTTATTAAACATATGATGAAGTTGGAATCACCCATTTCAACACTTATATGTACACAACACACTCCTCCCAAACCACTTACAACCTCAGTGTGAGACACTTAGAAAGAAAACTAGATCCATTTGGATGAAGTTAGTTCTTAAAGTTCAGCATCTTTCTAAGGACAGGAAGGGCATAGTGTCTAAGACAGGGGTCTCGAACTCCGGTCCTCGAGGGCCGCAATTCTGCAAGTTTTAGATGTTTCCTTCTTCCAACACACCTGATTCAAATGATCAGCTATTCATCAAGCTCTGCAGAAGCCAGACAACGATCCTGATCATTTGAATCAGGTGTGTTGGAAGAAGGAAACATCTAAAACTTGCAGGATTGCGGCCCTCGAGGACCGGAGTTCGAGACCCCTGGTCTAAGATGAGGTAGAACGGTGAGGGAGGATTCAGTTGGTTGCAATCTGCAACGCCGCCACTAGATGTCGCTAAAACATACACTGATGATCCTTTTAAGAAGTCATTTCCCATCACATTTTGCATTTGCAGGATCAACACTGTCGGTTCTCGTGTCTGTATCAGCAACAATGAGTAGACAGTTAACGGCTATTGGCAACAGTTCGTATTGGTGCATCTTTAGCGGCAAATTCACTTTCTAGCCAAAGTCACGGTGTTTAAATGACCAACTCTGGCTTCAGTCTGACAGCAGATGGTACTTCAGAGGCTTTAGAGTCCTTTTACTGATTATCTTCTCCTTCATTATCACCCCTTGTTTCCTCTTCCCTGTGGGCGTTCGGCACAGCATGTCATCGAGGGTCTGCTCAGTCACCTGGCCGGCTTCTTCAAGCTGAGTCACTGTCTGCTCCACTTCCATCATGTATGGTCTCTGCTCACTCCGCAGACGAAGCAAATTCACCTGAAACAGGTCACAAGAGGCCTCAGAGTCAACTCTTTCAGTAATTTACACATCAAACTCCAGAACTTGCATTAACTAATTTATTCTGTTTTCAAAAATAATAGATAGAAATGTATCAGCACCTTACCCCTTTGGCTGTATTCATTAAATAATTGCATGAATATGTTTAAATACTTCATCACCACATCCGAATGTGTGTTTCACTTACCACCTCCACTGAAAATTCAAGCTTTTTTACAAAGTAAGGGCTTTTAGGCAACAAAGCTGCTGACAGGATGGAAATGGCTTGTGTCATTTCTCCTGACATCGCGAGAAGTAGAACCTAAAACACAACAGAGAAATACATTAACCACTGCACAACTGCAAAAAATAATGGATGCTACAGGTACAATGCTCCACCTTTACCTCTAAATTTTGGCACAATCTGCCGTCCGTGTTCATAATTTGCGAATAGAACGACTGTGCCGTTTCTAGATCATTCTGAAACGAAAGAAGAAAACAGACATTATTTCAACGTTCTCCACATCTTCCTGCATACATGAAATGAATAGTCGAGAAGATAGAACTCACCCGCCGAAGTGCTAATGCGACAGCAAAGCAATAAGCATGCCGGGGGATTAAGGTCCTTTTTTCCTTCTCGTGCTCTAACAGAGCATTGCAGATATTGAAGGACTCCGCTGTGTCCTGACCAACACAAAAAACGGACATCAATTGATAGCAAACACCTGAAAACATAAACTCCACACAAATATAAGTCTTGGGGCTGTAATGTTAAATTATATTAAAACTGTAGATCAGTTATTTTAAATATTACCAGCTTGTAGCAGGTACCAGTCGCCAGTATCAGTGTGTCTTTGTTGAATGGTATGCCTTGGTTCTTCATGGTTCTTAGTACCTCCAGAGCACCTAAAAAAAAAATAGTCAAAGATTGGCACATTCGAAACAGGAGATAATAATTTCCAAAAACAAAACACCAAGGTTAATTTGCCACTTACTTTCATACGAGCCTTTCATGAATAACATATCTATGGCAATGTTAAAGGAGGTTGAGTCGGGGAAAAATCCTGTCAGATTCTGTTTAGACAAGTGAGACGAAATGTTATTAATTCAAGTCAACTCACATTAAAATATCCATCTTCTTACTGTTGTTTAACGGCTCTTTAATGTAACATTTACCTTATCTGTAATCATGACAGCAGCCAAGCCCTCCAGACCCAACTCATAGCACAGCCTCATGAACAGAGGACCAAACCTGAAGTCTCCGTGCATTATGTTATGGTTCTCTGCGTAATACCTTAAATCGGAAAATAAAGGATCATCTACTTGCAGCTCAGAAATCTGATAGATGACAGGTCCTGTGAGACCACAACGTGTGTGAACAAAAGGCCTAGCACAGTTTCTAAACTGCTGCTGAAGGACGCGGCGTACCTGTAGATGCCATCTTTGACTACCAGCATGTCATCTGAAGACTGGCACAGGTGGAGGAGAAGCTTCAGTTCATCTCGTAGAATCAGCTCATTCCGTTGTAGCTTCTGACTAAAGACATCAATATACTTTCCTGCAAAATTAGACAACAACAACAAAATAGTTTTCTTCACGTGAAACTGCAACTGAAATAAAAGTACACGTGACAAGAACTTAATACAAAAAACAAACACAGCTGTAATTGTCATGAGTATTTGACAAAAGCAGTGTGTCTGACGGATCATTAGTTACTCTTATTTAAGTGCTCTTGAATAATTTGCTTTAAACTTTGCTGACATGCAGGCTCAGTGCACAGCAGAATGAATAATAGGAGAGAAAAACGAAAAAGTAAGATTTGGTCACAGTACAGCAGCTGAATTGAAAAAGACCAAAACATTTCAATGAGAACCACAGTGTCAGTTTTCATCCCAGTGTCTTTACTCCACCTTTGGGTCCAACGGCAAGGTGAGCCACTGACAGCTTCTTCAGTTGGAATTCTTGCAGTTTGATAACATCGTCTGACAACAGGTGCCTTTTAGCTGCAATGAAAAACGCAATGTGGTGATTATTAGCACAGTCAACCAATCATTATTTTACGAAAGGCTTGCTCCTCTGAGTCTCTAATATCATAATTTAGCCTTGCTGCATAGCTAACACTATCTTATCTTAAATGTGCAAGGAGTTTGGCCACATTCTCGCACACACAACAACAACAAAAAGATCAGGGGGCTCACGTTTTAGTGGATTTTTAATGTGAACTCAACACACTTCATTTATGTAATTCACGGCTAACTGATGTGCGTAGTTCACGTGTGTACATGCTGCTAGCTTCTCTCTGTCTGTACAGCGGACAGTTAGGTATATCAGACGTGACACTTGTTGAAGAGTTTTTCTATCTTACCTCCTATGCAGCTTTCAATCCAGCCTGGCCGTAAAACACCACAAAACGCTCCTTTGTGGGATTCATTCAGTAACGACCGACAACATTTACCAAGTCTCCTCAGTGCCATGTTGCCCACTGACTGTACCATGATAATGAAAATAGAGGGGGACGTTATTGGGTTTGTTATAGCGTTTTAAAACGCAAACTGCGCTCGGAATGCTTAACCATATCGTTAAAAATGCTGACACATTGTAAACAGATGAATGTGGAATGGACACTATGTCCAGCTATTTGTTTTTGTCTCCGTAAAGTTCAGTTTCCAATTGGTATGATCCAATAAGGCGCCGTCCTGTGATCCAGCACACAGGTACAGTAACTTTTAAACTCTACAAAGTCATTTAGTTCAACTCCGTAAAATGAAGTTCTGTTTATTTTTTCCCCCACGTGCTTTCTTTGCCAGAAATAATAAAAGTGTTTTATTCTGAATGACACAGCAGCCAAAAGTGTTCATCGTTTAACCTGCAGGTGGTGCTGTTGTTCTGTGTAACGTGTCGAAGAGTTGCTTTTTTTTTTGCTGTCATGTCTGCAGCAGAGTAATATGTGTACTACGACTACGACTCCAAATAATAATGATGTATGGTAAATGTGAGACAAGAAATGCAACATTATTAATTATCCTGAAGGAAATTGTGATTTTCTTTCTTTTTTTAGTCTTTAAATTGGCTAAAATAAATGAACCCCAACCCCACAAACTCACTTTTTTAAAATTTTATTTTATATATCAGTAGTTTATGATTTTTTTTTTTAAAAAAGCAAAATGTATAGATTTTGCATTGGTTTTTTATGCACATAAATAACAAATATATGCTCCAGTTAAACTACTGATACAGCATTCAAATATTGCAAATCTGCGATGTTACAGTGCAGTGAATAATCAACAAACATGGAAAGGAATTCTGTTACATAATTCATAACCTCTTATGAATGCTAATCACTCTTGCAATCTGACTTGCTGCCAGTCTTTGTTTTTAAATGAAAATGTTTTCAGGTTTTCTGCTTGACATGCAACCATGAATTGAATATGATTCAGATATACCTTCTACAGCATGTAACCTCTGTACAAGGATATCACTTGTTTTAAACAACTTTTATTTCAGACCCTCCAGATGCTTCAGCATTCTCACAGTATGTTCTGAACTTGGAAAATAGGGATTTGCATACAATGCACCCTGTGCATATAAAGGGATTATACAGACACAGTTACTGGGGTTGAAAACAAATTTCATATCAAGCACATAAAGCATTTGAATCCATCCATCAATCATTGATACTCCGCTTAATCCTCACTAGTGAGGATTAAGCAGAGCTGACCCTAAGTCAGCTGGGAGAGACTCCCAGCTGACTTAGGGTGAAGGCAGGGACACCCTGGACATGTCACCAGTCTATCACAGGGCTACACTTAGAGACAGACAACCAAGCACACTCACATTCACACCTACGGACAATTTAGAATCACCAATTAACCAAAACATGTTTTTGGACTTTGTGGGAGGAAGCCAGAGAACCCACGCTGCACGGGGAGAACATGCAAACTCCATGCAGAAAGATCCTGGGTGTCCTCACTGGGACACACACCGGCGACCTTGCTGCGAGGCAACGATGCTACCCACCGCGTCACCGTGTAGCCCTTAAATGCAACATCCAAAACATATATGAAACATATGTGTATGTGTGTGTATGAAACATAGATGAAGAATGTAACTGTTCGAAATTGTTCCCCTCTTTCCTATTCTCTGTTTTATTATAGTGATTTGGTTTAATCCACCATCCAGTTATGTCCAAGTCCTCTTGTGAAACAGACAATGAGAGACTTTAGCAAAGGTTAAATACCAAAAAACAAAACAACAATAACAATAAGAGCAACAGCAAACACAAAATAGCACATAGTTGTATATTTCTTTCTGATCTGATTAATGCCACAACTGTGATTTGACATAACAATTTTATTCAAAATGACATTTAGTGAAAATTCTAATACAGTACAATTTTGTGTAATTATTATTATTATTATTTTTAAAAAACCCTGTAATTTATGTGATAATTTCCAAATCATTGCAAAGAAAGTTAAAGTCATGATGGAAAAAATAAATAGGAGATAAAAAATTAGGTTATCATTAGGCCTATCATTTTATTTTAAATGGTGTATGTTCACCTATTACTGTGGAAGGCTGCAGTAAGCTCCATATCCTGCCACTAGTTAGTGTACCCATTGACCTACACAGCATTACATAACAAAGGACCTGCTTCCTGAGAAGAGCATTCTGCTGCATTTTCCCTGTGAAGGACATTTTTATATCATACAATAAAAATCAAAATACATATCAAAATATATATCAAAACACAGTCTGGCTCACTATAACTACATTGTTTTGATTGTGTCAAATAATTGATGCTTGTTGAAAACTTTGGTTATAAAATATTTATATACACAGCATGCAGGTGAAGATCATTGCACATAAAGAAACATAAAGTTATTTTTTTCTTGTTTTTTCAGACAGGTCTTACTGTTAAAATGTGATTTTTCCACTGTAGGCAGAGGGCAGATAGAAGTGCAAAATGTCTAAAACTGGCACCGTTAGGGAAAGCAGCCTAAGCTGTATGTAAGTTTTGAAAAATTCATTCCAGCAATTAAGGTACATGCTATATAAATTCCTATAAGATAGACAGTCTTGCACAGAAAAAATAGGCCTGGGACAGGGAGGTTCCCTGCTGTTGCCTTAGCAACACGATCTCAGCCCATCCAGCTGAGATTGCTTGCTCAGCCAATCAGACACGGGGCCTTGGATAATTTATGGTATCCTGCAAGGTGTGTGTGTGTGTCTTAGCGGGGTTCTTTCTGCATATGTATGTTTGCATGGATTTAAAACTGTCCTACATATAGCTCATCTGTAGCTACAGGTTGAGAGTGTCTTGTGGTTGCAGCTCACGTTAAGCTGCTCCAATAATGTGATAATCAACAGGAAACTGTTTGTGGAGGTTCCATTTTAGCACTCAGACTCTGATTTCCCCTGACAAACAGCCAGGTTCTGCCGGCAGATAGTGGCTCTTACATCTTCTTTGATTTATCCCTGTGTGCACTTCCCTTTGGTTTGGAAAGTGCCCGGGGTGTCCCATCATCATTAATAAATGTCCCCACTGAAACAGTTTTGGAACAGGAAAAAAAACAGCTGTTACTGATTACAGTGATAGACTGGCTGTGCCACAGTAATAAAGCCACTGTCCTTGAAAGACAATTAAATAGGTTGGCCTCCATCCGTAGCAAGATTCCTGATGGACATTGATATGCAGGCCGTTTCACCCACTGAATGATTTTCTACTTAATCATGAACGCCTGTGGCTGCCTGCTGGGGTTGGAGAAATATCAGCGATGCTTTCTTATTTGCATAGCTTGTGTAGATTATTGTGATTCTACATGCAAGGAAATACAAAAGCTTTCTACTTACTGCTGTGCTTTGTATTTGCTAAAATAGCTCTCAGAGTCGAGAAGCTCAGTGTTCACTTGCTGAGAGACATCAAACGTGTGGAGCTGTGGTCTCCCACTGTACAACAAAAGGATGCTGAATTGTGGAGACATGTCCTATTACCTTGAGCTGCTGTGCTGCTTCTTGGTGTTCGCTGCTTCCTCAGTCAGCATCCCTGGGGCGTCTGATCAGAGACGCCCATCAGTTCACTACATGCAGGGGGAGCTGAATTTATCCTCCAAATTCATGTTATTTCTCTATTTTTTTTTCGCCTCTGACATATTTCTTATTTTATATATACTTAAACATTTATTTCATATGAGCTACATATATTTTATTCATTTGATATATTTCTGTCTTCACTTGTCCTGTGCATTAGAGGTTGTAGTGGTGGTTTAACACTGCAGCTATGCAGCATGGTCCTGCTTCAAGGTGATGCTTGCTGCAACCAATTTACATCTTCTTTCATTGCAGGTGTTCCCTTGTGGTACAAAAACACAAGACACATGCATTGTTATGCATTCAGGTAATATGACTGTTTATGAGCTGCCTCACAGGCACTGAGATATGACTACTCCCAAAGTGCTGGAATGAAATGCAGATGACAAATATAACTCCAGGGATTAGTCAAAAAAACTTAGTTCAGCTGCTATTACTTTGGAAACCTTGACTGAGAACTTTTCATTCATTCATTTCTTTGACCTTTTAGAGTTTAAACAATTCCTATTAAGGTATTTTATGTGTGCTGCACACAGTGCAAATATAATGTCTTTTCCCTCTTATTCTATGTCTAAGGATTTTAGTCACAGCTGTGCTTTGAGTTAAAAGCTAATGTTTGGTTAGATTAGTGCCTAACTTGTTTACTCTTTTAGTTGGACATGAAAATATGTTCCAATTAGCTTTAGTAAGTATAAGTACAGGAAGCAATAAGTGCAAAATAGCAAAAAACACTGACCTGACAATGGTCAAAATGCATTCAATACATGCCAAGGTGGTCATAAATGTCCATCAGATTTTATGGAAATCAGTCCGCTGGTTGTCTAATCATGTTGCTAAAAGCCTGAAATATGAATCTGCCCGTGATGCTCAATGAAAATTCAGGAGATCCCCGAAGTCTGGAAGATACATGATCTGGGGACCACAGATGTCTGTTCAACGTTTTAGATCAATTTATTACTGTGATATTTTCAGCTTTGGTGGATCAGATAACCAGCAGTACCATCTCCACAGCTACAAACAAGGTTGCAAATATTCATACTGCTTCCACACAAAGATAAACTACACACTACAAAACGTTAATTAAGTTAAAATGCTCACATACAGCTTTTTAAAAAACAAACAAACAACTAAGACTAAACCAGTAAAACTGAGCCTCAGTCTGTTGACACTGTATCTCTCTTGGGGACATAAATCCCTTCTCATTCCTGCTTGCCTCTCAGGGACATTTGTCACCAAGGAGGTCAGAAGTAGCAATTTGTCTCCTGGGCCACGATGTGACTTATTGCCAATCACATCACCATGAACATATGACTTTAACTCGACAGCTATGATTCTGTTCTCTATTATTATAATGAAGGAGTTTGTATGGAGTCAGTTAGGAATTTCTGTTTCTGATTAAAAACTATAG